GGAGGAGCTGGCAGCTGGTGGGGTGGGCTGTCCAGGCACACTCCAAATGGGCATCTACAACTTATTTTGGTCTTCCTACCGTGATAATGGACAAGAGCTCTCAAGGCAAAGGCGTGGTGGGAGTCAGACAGTGGCTTCCAGCCTCCTGTGTCTCCTTGTGGTTGGAGACCTCCTGACCCTCACATCCCCCCTCCAATATCTAGCCCAGGTGTTTTTTCCCAGGAAGCCCCACCTGTGCTGGAAGAGCTCCTCCATAACACCGCTCCGTTTGCATCGCCAAGCGCCAGAGGGGCCAGCAGTGGGTGCACCGAGGATGACATCAATCTGAAGTCATCATCCTGCCAGCCTTGGGAGAGCAGACCTGGAGGAGGCAGTGCCAGGGCAGGTCTCTGCCAAGGAGAGCATCATGGTGATGCCATCGAATTCCAATGTGGCTCCCGGAGCCTGTGGCTGCCTTCCCGGTGACGCTGGTTTGGGGTGTTCCATGTGCAGGGTGTCCCCAAACACCCACCCAAGGCCCCCATGCTGGTGTCCCTTGGGATTCAGGGCTATCACTGGACACCTTGGTCCTCTTCCTGCTGGCATCTGGGGCTGGTGGCATCAGCATCTCCTCCTGGAGAGGGACATCTTGAGCCACCGCCACTGGGAGTGAGCCCGGCGGATGCAGCAAGGTTTGGGGAGAATGGTTGTTTTGTGGCTCAAGCAATGGGAAATCTGAGACTTGTGTCATTGTGGGAATTATTTCTCATCTGGAGGGAGGAGGAGACGAGAAGAGCAGCAGCACCTTCAGGTGCTCACACAGCCTGGACAAGGAGCTTCATCCCCGAAGCAGCTCTGGCATGTGCTCAGCCAGGAGAGGAGCACTTGCTTTCCAAACTCATGGGTCCAGCAGTGGATGAAGCCAAATAGCCTGGATTAAGTGGTGGGAAGGTATTTTTCCTGTCCCCTCCATGCTCGCAGGAAGCCTTCAGGACTGAGCAGGAAGATTGGGTTGTGCTGATCATCCTCTTACCCGACATGTAGAAATATATCCCTGGGTTTTACATACAGCCAGCCCTGCCAGCACTGCTTTCCTGCCTTCCTGCCTTCCTGCCTTCCTGCCACCCTTTCCCTCCAGCTGCTGGTGGGCACAAAGCCAGGCTCATTCCCTGCTCCTGCTGCTGCTGTCAGGCCATGGGCACCCGGCATGGGGGGAACCACAGCCACCCCAAGTGTCCCCAGGAGCTCCCACCAGTCCCCAGCAGGGCTGGTGTTATCCAGCTGGCTTTGCTCCAGGATTTTGCCAGAAAAAACCCTTCCCTGAGCCCCGACAAGGCCGGGATTTACCATTGAGCTGTGCTGATCGTGAGTAATGTTTAAAGAGACGTGCCCTCGGAAGAGCTCCCTGCACCCTGTGTCCTGCACACCTCCAGGGCCGGAGCCAAGCCTTGCTCTGCTGGGGATCTGTGTTTTAATTAGGCTCGTGGATTTTCCTTCCAGGCTTGTTGTAGTCAGGTCTCCCTGCTCACTCCCTTCCCAGAGCCTCTGTGTCTGCAGGGCTTGCGAGCGGTTTTCCAGAGGTATGCTCCGTCCCGGCTCTCCATTTATAGAAAGGAATTAAGGAGAAATGAGGGAGCATTGCTAAGAGGATTTGCACTGCGACTTACTCAGTTTCTCCAAATAATTTGCAGTAGCTCTGGATTCTTTAATCAACACTCATTTCCTTTTGGAAATGAAAGAAGCGGGAAGGCGTCGTGCTGCTCCCGAGCCAAGCTTGGCTCTTCGCCTCCGAACAGGACATGTTGGAATCAGAGCCTGAGAGCGTAATCTGGGGAGACCTGGTGGGGGGTGAGGGTGTGTGTGGCAGAGGGAAGTGTGTCTTGGGGCTCAGAGAGTCTCTGTCGCCCTGTCCCGCTCCTTCCATGTGGTTTTGGGCTCCCCTGTCCCTGTCTGGAGCTGGCAGCCGCACACCCAGACGTGTGACATGAGCCATGGACAGGGAGTCACCCTGCCTGGGGACTCTGTCCTGCTGTGGCCTCTCCTTGTGGGAGGGGCTGGGCTGAGTCTGGGGTTGGGGATTCCCATGGGGTTAGTCCAGATCACCCAAAGGGCTGGCAGCGCTCGTTCCCAGTGGGATTCAGCGCTGAATTCCCATGGGACAGGGCTATGGTGGCCCATCAAGCCGTGGGCAAGAGACCTTCCACAGGTTCCTGGGAACCATCTGGGTGTTGTAGAGGGAGGAAAAGGCATCTGGGCAGGTCCTACTGCTCTGGGACAGATAGTCCCAAACTGCTCCTCTCCCAGATGGCCTGAGCCTTTCCATGCTCATGCCGCTGGGATTTCCTTGCCCTGCTCAATGGTGGAAAGCTAACGGTGCTTGTAGCATTCCCAGCCCTTGCAGTGTTCCCAGCACTTGCAGCATTCCTAGCCCTTGCAGCACCTATGGAGCCACTCTCCAGCCTGGCAGAGCCCCGTGCCCAGCCCTGTCCCTGGTCCTGCCCCACTGAGCTCTGTCCCACCGGGGTGTTGGGATTGCAGCGTCACCCCTCAAACCTCCCCTTGTGCAACGGCCCCTCCGGCCTCTCCTCCCACTTCCCTCCGGGCCTGTTGCACAAGAGGAAACCCCAGGGTTTCCTGTCCTGGCAGCAGGGTGGGGTGTGGGACAGCCCCATGTCCCCTGTGTCCCCTGCCCTGTTCCCTTTGGGCACCTGTGGGCACAGGGATGGGGGCTGACATCCCCCCATCTGCACAAAACCAGATCTGGAGCAGAGCTGCCCAGGATGTGGCCTGGTGGGTCAGAAGGTGCCCTCTTAGGTTAGAAGCTCATAATTAAATTAAAATTCAAATTCCATCAGCTGCAGGAGCGGGATGGTGTTGGGAAGCCGTTTCAGGGAGTCGGGGTGAAAGACCCTGTGTAAGAAAGAGGTCAGGGCTCACTGTCCAGGCAGCCCCAATTTTCCCTCCTTCCTGACCCAGTTTTGCAGCCAAATCACCCTCCATGACCCCGCTGATCCCTTGGAGGTGACACTTCCAGCCTTGGTCCCTCGCCGCTGCTCCGTGTTTCTCTGCTTTGCTCACGTGGGCACTGCCGGAGCTGCTGGAGAGGCAGTTGGGGCATCTCCAAGTGGCTCCCAGGATGGGACCCCTGCCCTGCCCTCCTGGCAATGCAATGGGGACATGGGGTGTCCACAGCAACCAGGACAGGAATGTGGGATCCCACTTTACTCTGGAAAACCTTTCTGCCATCCACACGGACATCGTGTGTGCTCCAAATGGAGTGGGGGGCTTGGGGATGGCTGTTGGGATACGGGCATCCCCCAGGCTGTTGGCACTGTTGGGATGTGGGCATCTTGCTCCGAGCCTCTGGGACATGGACATCCCTCTCCAGGCTGTGGCTGCTGGCAGAGGCACCTTCCTGATGGTTTATGTTGGGATTTTTTTTAATGCTGAATTGATTTATATGGTTTTCCTGATGAGGGGCTGTGGTCTCTGGGATGGGCAGAGCTGCAGAGGTGACTCCCACCCTTGTCCTCATGTGCTGGGAACCTGTTGCCTCCATCCAGCCCCTCATGAAGGGGTGTTTGGTGGGGTCAGGTCTTTCCATTGCCGGTGTACCTTTCAGCTCTCCTTAAAAAACCAAGCTGAGACCCAGGTTCTGCTCTGTGTGCCTGGGATGGGTGCCTTGCAACTGGCAATACAGATCCCCTGACACCCCAAAATGTGCCTCCAGTGTCTTGCTGGTGACCTTCATGGTCACCTCCGTGGTCTTTACTGGTCGTGGTCACCAGTGAGTGGTGAGGGTGATGTGCACTAGGGATGGGGCTGCAAACACCGCGGAGCAGCAGCATCCCCACAGCAGAACTGGTTCATACTGGGACACCAGGATGCAGCTCCAGCTAAGGGGGTGCTCAGCTCTGGAATGGGAGTGCTGGGCTGGCGGTGCACTGTGGGTGAGGTCACTTCTGTCTCAGCCCATCGTTGTTCCTGCTCCAGTTGGGACATGCTTTGGTGGCAGAGGGACTTCCTGGGGGATTTGGGCTGTATCCCACCATATGTGGGGTACTAAGGGCCCCCCCAGCCCTGCTCAGCACAGAGTCACCGGGGTCCGTGGGGATGAAGCCGTGTGGGACCACCTTGGAGAGGGCCAGGAAGCAGAGTCACAGGATTGCAGTGAGGGATGTGTTGGGATTAATCCCTCTGCTTTAATTGGTTTATGTCAGTAATGAGCTACTCCTGGCAGTGCTGAGCCAGATGGTTCCTTCCCTGGGCAGCAGGATCCTCATGGAGCAGGTGCCAGGGAAACACTTGGCGATGCTGGAACTTGGGGAGAGGGTGACCCCAAGCCAGCATCACTGCGCCCCCGTGTAGGATCAGAAATGGGGTAGGGTTAAAAATCCTGCCTGGAAAATGCTTCCAGTGGCTGCCACTGCTTTCCATAGGATAAATGGTGGCTGGTTCTGCCCGGGCTCCTCAGTGTGAGCTCCCTGAGGTCCCCAACACCTGCACAGGAAGTCCTGCCTGTGGGTCCAGCTCCTCTCCCTCTAATCCATGGAGCAGCCGGGACCTTGCCAGGCAGCCCTGGAGGTGGTCCTGCCACTCCACTGCCCGATTCGCAGTGGTCCCTGAATTGCCCTCCCCACTCAGCTCCTCCAAAGGCAGAGTAGGAGCCGCCAGCTGCTGCCTGTGATCCAAGGGCAGGGGAGGGATTCTCCTTCCCTCCGCCTGTCCCAGCGCTCCGAGGGCAGCAGAGGGTTCTTTGTGGGCACTGCTTTAATTGCATCATTATTATCCCGAGTAAATGAGTCCTGGCAGCAGCTGAACCTGGCGGATGCCAACAACATCCCAGAAAGGCATCCGGGAAAGGTCAGCATCCAGCTGGCACGAGCAGGGCCGGGGACCTGGATGGGACCCAGGCACTGGCAGGTGCCGGCAGAGCCAGGGGGTCTCAGTGGGTGAGGGGGGACCAGGGGGGAGCCCAAACCCTTCCCATCTCACCCCCCTCCACCGCTTCTCCCTTGCAGACCGTCAGCATCAATAAGGCCATTAATGCGCAGGAAGTGGCTGTCAAGGAGAAACACGCCAGGAATATCCTTCCCAAAGCTGGCTGTGGGACAAGGAGCGTGGGAGCGGGGCTGGGGCTGCTTGGAAAAGGGGCAGCAGCAAGAGGGAGTGTGGGGAGAGGTGCTGGGGGTGGTGGGGTGGGACCTTGAGGGGCTATTGGTGGTGTTTCCACCACGGCACAGGTTCCCTGCTCCTGCTGCCACAGCCTCCAAATGTCAGGGGTGCCCAGGCTGGTGCTCCTGGCACTGCCATCCCGTGGGAGGGCTGGAGGGGAAGGTGCCCTCCCACAGCAGGTTGGAGTCCTGGGGTGAGGATGCTTGAGCACACTGCCACTAAAAGCAGATTCCCAGTATCCTGGGCAGGCAGCTGGGAAGGCTTGGTGGGGGCAGAGCCATGTACCATGGTTTTCCCAGAGTGGTGATCTGGGGCTGGGGGAGAGGGGACAGTGTGTGCCACCCTTGGGGACAGTGTGTGCCCGGGCTGGGCAGCATCAGCTCCCCATGGTGGCCTGGCCCCCCTGGGCTCTGTGGGTACAGCTGGCCGTGGGTGGCCACTCTCCATCACCAAATGGGAAAAAACGGGAAGCCAAAAAGTGTTTCCTTGACCACCCAGCACCGTGTATCCTGGGCACACACCACGAGAAGGGAGCCCAGACCTTCTGGTCAGTGGTGAACCGGCTGCCACTGTCCGGCAATGCCGTGCTCTGCTGGAAGTTCTGCCACGTCTTCCACAAGCTTCTCCGGGATGGACATTCCAATGTGAGTGCCCAAAGCTCAGCTCAGCCACTGCCCCGGGGCCAAATATTTTCTCCCATGGGGCTGCACCGGGCAATGGGAGATGCTGGTGGGTGGGTGCCCTCCTGGGGGGTCAGTCCTGGGTGGGTACTGGAGTTGGAGCCTTCCTGGGAGATCAGTGCCCTCCTGGTAGCTCAGTGCCCTCCTGGGAATCAGTCCTGAGAGGGCACCAGTGCCAGAGCTCTCCTGGAGGGTCAGTACCTTCCCGGGGGCCAGTCCCAGGTGGGGACTGGTGCCAGAGCCCTCACAGAGGTTTGGTGCCCTCCTGGGGGTCAGTTCTGGACGGGGACTGGTGCCAGAGCCTTCCCAGTGCTGCCCTGCCCACAAACCCCTGTGCTCCAAACCCGGTGCCGATGGCAGTGCCGGTGCCAGAGGAAACTGCTCAGTGCAGGAGCCACCGGTGAGGATCCTCCTGCTCCGTGTGTGGATGGGGAAACTGGGACACCTGGGACTGGCAGTGGTGACACCACCAGCAGGACAAAGGGTTGAGAATGCACCAAGACCTGCCATTCCTCACCCCAATTGCCAGCTCCAAATGTGGGACGTTGTTTCCCGGTGCTCTGCCTGCTGATTGTCACCATCGTTCCTCCAGGTCCTGAAAGACTCTGTGAGATACAAGAATGAGCTGAGTGACATGAGCAGGATGTGGGTGAGTGGCCACCATGGTGGGGACACCCCAGGGGTCCCTTGGCCAGGCTGGGGGGGTTGTAGGCTTGGGGGATTCTCTCTCCCAGGATGATCCAGGGGCTGAGCACAGCCATGGCTGACCCGGGGCTGCCATCACCTCCCTGAGGTGGGTTTTACCGGTCACATTCGTGTCCCCTCCCACCAAAACCGAAGGCCTCCTTCCTATTTTATGGCAAAACCCAGTAAAACCCAGCTTTGATGGTCAAAAGCCACATTGAAACGTGCAGAGAAGGTGATGAGAAGGTCCTGACCCAAAGCCTTTCAGTGAAGCCAACCTGCATCCAGGGGCTGGGTGCCAGCGAGGAGCGTTTGGCTGTGGTTTTGGGGAGGTGAGGGAGGGGTCACTCACTCTGCAGGGGGAAAAGGCTTTTCTGCAGCCTGCCCTGGATCTCAACAGCCTTTTGGGGTCTCCAGGGCCACCTGAGCGAGGGCTACGGGCAGCTCTGCAGCATCTACCTCAAACTGCTGAGAACCAAGATGGAATTTCACACCAAGGTGAGACCCCCCCCCGTCCCCAAGGCTGCAGCAAGGGGTGACAGGGACAGGACAGGGGCTGGCAGAGCCTTTCCAATGCTGTCACCCCCTTGGGTCCTCCCCTCTGTCATGACCATCCTGCTGCCTCCATGAAACATTTCCCAAGCTGCCAGTGGCCATCAAAATTGGATCAAAAATAGCCCAAGGACCAGCGTTTTGGGAGTGGCAGGATTCATGGTGGCCCAGGGCTCCCTGGGGACACCTGGGAGTTGGTGGGCTACAAAAAGCGTTGAAAGACCCTCAGCTTTGGGGTGCATGTCCCCTCCCAGCTATCCTAGGTGGGCAGAGGTGGAAGAGCTCTGCTGCAAAGAGGTGTTTTCTGTGCCCATCACCCTGACTCAGTTTGGAGGTGTGATGTGACCATCCCCAAAATGCCAGGGTGGCATGAGGAGGCTTTGCCCCTTGGGGCAGATATTGGCTCCATCCCCTCACAGCTCCCAGCTCCTCCCTGCTCAGCAGGTTTCTCAGCCCAGGGAGAATCAGCTTTTCTTGCTGGGGAGAACACAGGCACCTGGATTAGGGATGCTGTGGTCACCCAGGGTTTGGAGACCTTGTGTTACTCCCCTTCCACCCCACATCACCCCCCTGGCACATCCAAGAGCTGACTTTGTACCGAGCCCACAGGATCACAGCCTTGGTGCTCCCAGAGCTTTGTCCAGACCAGGAGATCCTCTGGAACCCTTTCCCAACTCCTGTTTCCCCACAGAATCCCCGCTTCCCTGGCAATCTGCAGATGTCCGACCGGCAGCTGGACGAGGCCGGGGAGAACGACGTCAACAACTTGTGAGTGCAGGGCAGGGGGAGGTGAGGAAGGGGTGGGTGCAGCCAGGGGGGCACCACCCAGCAGGGAATGGGACCTTCCACCTGCCCCACCTGCCCCAGCAGAGCCCTGGGAAAGGCTGGTGCATCCACACCAGAGCACCCCTCATCCTGCCAGGGTGGGACCTGGCACAGGGTGAGGCCCATGGGTGGCCATGGGGACAGTCCCCCACCATCCTTATCCCTGTTTCCCAGTTTTCAGCTGACGGTGGAGATGTTTGACTACCTGGAGTGTGAGCTGAACCTCTTCCAGACAGGTAAGCCCCTGTGTTACCCTGACAGAGGGTGGGATGAGGGGTCTGTGGGGGTCCAGGCCCTCCGTGGGGAGCTGAGCTGAGCTGGGGGGAGGCTCTGTGGGGGTGCTGGCTGAGGGCACCACAGCTCAGCTCTTCTGGGCACTTCGCCTGAATTATGGTTCAACAAGGCTAAGCAGAAGGTGCTGCACTGGGGCAGGGCAACTATCAGTCCAGGCTGGGGGATGAAGGGATGGAGAGCAGCCCTGGGAGATGGATTTGGGGGTGTGAGGAGATGTTCAACATGCCCCAGCCACGTGCACTGGCAGCCCAAAAAGCCTCCTTTCTGCTGGACTGATCCCACAGCGTGGGCAGCAGGGGAGGGGGGGATATTCTGCCCCTCTGCTCCACTCTGGTGAATTCCCACCTGCAGAGATGCCTCCAGCTCTGGGGCTCTCAACATCAGAAGGAGGTGAGCTGCTGGAGCAAGTCCAGAGGAGGCCACAAAGATGCTCCAAGGGCTGGAGCCCCTCTGCTCTGGAGCCAGGCTGGGAGAGCTGGGGGGGTTCACCTGGAGAAGAGAAGGCTCCAGGGAGAACTTAGAGCCCCTTCCAGGGCCTAAAGGGGTTCCAGGAGAGCTGGAGAGGGACTGGGGACAAGGCATGGAGGGACAGCACAAGAGGGAATGGCTTCCCACTGCCAGAGGGCAGGGTTAGATGGGATATTGGGAAGGAATTCTTGACTGTGAGGGTGGGGAGACCCTGGCACAGTTGGGCAGAGAAGCTGTGGCTGCCCCATCCCTGGAAGTGTCCCAGGCCAGGCTGGATGGGGCTTGGAGCAACCTGGGCTAGTGGAAGGTGTCCCTGCCCATGGCAGGAGGTGGAATGAGATGGTCTCCAGCTGCTCCTGGCTGGTTTTGGAGCATCTCCCTGCCAGCACACCCAGCACACTCGAGTGCCAGTGGGACGACAGTGACAGACAGAACACAGAGGTTGTGTGTCAGCTCTGCTCAGGGACACTGCTGAGGTCAGGCCCAGCTGCAGGCCCACAGTGCCAGGCTGAAATGTTCCCAAGCCTGGGTGGGAGTCCTGGGTGGGAATTTCCCCTGCTGAGCTTACAAGCAGCTGCAGGGCTGCAGGCTGGGTCCCCAAGGGCCAGTGGGTATCTTCCTCCAGCTGAAGGTCTCTTGCTGTGGGTGACATTTGTGGATCTGGCAGGCACAACGTGGCACCCACCAGCACTGCTGGTGCTCCCAGATCCTGATCCCGTGCTCCCCCCCCGCAGTGTTCAGCTCCCTGGACATGTCGCGCTCGGTGTCGGTGACGGCGGCAGGGCAGTGCCGCCTGGCCCCGCTCATCCAGGTCATCCTGGACTGCAGCCACCTCTACGACTACACCGTCAAGCTGCTCTTCAAGCTCCACTCGTGTGAGTGTCCCCAGCGCCACCACCTTGGGCGGGGAGGGACACGGAGGGAGACACTGAGGGTCACCACCCTGCTCAGACTGGGCTGTTCACCCCCATCCCCTTCCCAGCCTTTTTGGGGAGATAAAAGGAGTCACCAAGACAAGGTGGTGCAAAACCCACATCCCTCAGGACCTGGAATTGTGGTGGCAGCTGCCTGACCTCCGTGCTTTCCCCTTCCCTGGGGTGTGATCCCCTCCTGCAGCGGGACACCGAGCCTGGAGCATTCGGACCCCCAGAGGAGGGTGGCCATCTCTGGAAAAGACCCATCCTCGTGTGGTTGTGCTGATAGCTTGTCCCCTGATCCATGAAGACACCCAGTGATGTTTCTGCTTGCTGCTTCTTCCAGGTCTGCCAGCGGATACGCTGCAGGGCCACCGGGATCGCTTCCTGGAGCAGTTCCGAAAGTAAGTGCCCAGACCTGGAGTGCTGGTGCTCTGGGGGTGCTCCCAGGGCACGGAGATGGAAAAACAGTGAGCAGGGATGTGCTGTGGCCTCTGGTATGTGATTATTTGGGGCAGCCAAAACAAAAACTGGCCGCTGAGAACAGGGGGAGGATGTCAAGGTGCTGAGGGACAGCTTGATTCAAAACCAAGGTCACAAACTTCAAACAGCAGATATCAGGGCTGGCCGTGGGCTCTGACCCCCCAGGGACTAACCTTGGGACAGGTATCAACAGCGCCGAGATCCCAGCTGGGGTGCTGAGGTGGTTGGGAGGGATGGGAGCCAGAACTGGTGTGGTTGGGCACTGCTGCTCCTCCCCAAAACTGGAAATCCTGGAGGGAAGTACCCTGCTCCTGGGGGAGATGCTCCTGTGGGAACTGAAGGTGATGAACTGTGGGAACTGCAGATCTTGGCTCCAGGCAGGAAGCCCCACACCTGCTCGTGGGGGCTTTGGGTGGGAAGGGAGTGGTTTGAGTTGGAAGCAACCTTTGAAGATCATCCAGTCCAACCCCCTGCCGTGGGCAGGGACACCTTCCACTAGACCAGGTTGCTCAAGTTCCAGGTCCTTCTCTCTGCCCACCAGGCCCTGGGTTTATGGGATAAACCCTCCAGCAGTCAGTTTTTTCCAAGGGTGGGAGGCTGGCAGTGGGGTCTTCCTAAGACCTGCCCTGGGTTTGGTGGCAGCACACACCACCATCCCCTCCAGCCAGGTGACACCTGGAGCCAGGCGACACCTGGAGCCAGGCAAGGGTTTGGAGCTTCCCACATTGTCCAGGCTGGACAAGAGCCATCCCTCACCATTCCCTGTCCCTTCCAGGCTCAAGGACCTCTTCTATCGCTCCAGCAACCTGCAGTACTTCAAGCGGCTGATTCAGATCCCGCAGCTGCCAGAGGTGAGACCCCACAGTCCCTGGTCCCCACGATCCCTGTCCCCATGGCCAGGGGCAGCTCTGGGGTGGGTGGCGCTGGGAGAGGCCACAAAAAAGCTGCCTGTCACCTTACCTGGCTTCCTGGGGCTGGTGGCAACATGGGGCTCATGGGCCTTGAGGATCATCCTTGCATCCCTCTCTGGGTGGCGTCCTGTGGGATGGGGCTGCCCTCTGACCAGGGGCTGGGATCCCTTCTCTCACCAACCCAAATCCCTTGCTAAGAGCCATCCCCATGGGTCCTGGCTCCCTCTCCTTGGACCCTGGTTCCATTCCTGCAGGTCCTGGTCCCATCCCTCCGGGCCCTGGCTCCAATGACATGGGTCCTGGCTCCATCCCTATGGGTTCTGGTTCCATTCTGTGGGTCCTGGCTCCATCCCTGTGGGTTCTGGTTCCCTTCCTTTGCATCCTGGCTCCATTCCTGTGGGTTCTGGTTTCATCCTGCGAGTCCTGGTTCTATCCCTGTGGGTCCTGATTCCATCCCTGTGGACACTGCTTCCATCCCTGTGGGTCTTGGTTCCATCCCCATGGCTCCTGGCTTTATCCCTGTGGGTCTTAGTTCCATCCTTGTGGGTCCTGGCTCCATCCTTGTGGGTCCTGGCTCCATTCCCATGGATCAAGGCCTGGCCAGCTCAGCTCTGGGGCAGGATTTCACCCAGCCGTGCCCTCAGCCCTGCAGCAGTGCCAACCCTTCCCCTCACCCTGCTGCCATCCCTCCCCAGAACCCCCCCAACTTCCTGCGAGCCTCGGCGCTGTCGGAGCACATCAGCCCTGTGGTGGTGATCCCTGCTGAGGCGTCTTCCCCTGACAGCGAGCCCATCACAGACCTGGTGGAGATGGACACGGCCTCACAGGTGAGGGTGGCAGGGGCCCTCCAGCTCCGAGCCTGGAGTTACTTCTCCAAATCCACACCATGGTGGGAGCTGAGACAGCAGGGATGGCTTTGGGAACTGGGGAGTGTCACTGTGAGGGAATGAGTGGGTGCTGGATGTCCCATCTGGGAGCTGGATGTCCCATCTGGGTGCTGCCAGGGCTGAGCCAGCCTGGGTTTGTCTCCCAGTGCTGCTCAGTGGTGTGGTGCCCTCCAGTGATGGGCGAGGAGAGGTTTGGCTTTGAGCATCTGCCACTTTAGGTCTTCACCCTCCTCTCCACCAAAGGTTGTTCCCAGGCACTGAGTGAGGAGGGGAAGGAGCATGTGGTGACATGGCTTTGGGGGTCTTCTCCCCCTGGGAGTTAAGTGGGGATGGACCAGAGATGCCCTGTGGCAGATCAACACATTCAGTGCCCTGGGAGCAGTGGGGGGATCCAGCCCCAGTGTCCAGGCAGGTCGTGGGCTGGGTTGGCGGTGACGCTGGGGACATGGAGGGGATGAGGGTTCCCGGGTGGTGATGGGGTCACTCCAGGTCCATCCTGCTCTTTCCGCAGAGCCTGTTTGACAACAAGTTTGACGACATCTTCGGCAGCGCCTTCAGCTGCGACCCCTTCAACTTCAACAGCCAGAACGGGATGAACAAGGATGACAAGTGAGCAGGCCGGGATCGTACCAGGACCTCCCTTCCGGGAACGGCACCACAGCTGCAGTGGCACAGGGGACACCTCCCCTCCCAGGACGTGTCCCCATGGCACTGAGGAGGTACCCTGTGTCTCTCCTTCCCAGGGACCGGTTAATCGAGCAGCTTTACGGGGAGATCGCAGCCCTGAAGGAGGAGCTGGAGAACTTCAAGGCCGAGGTGGGTGACAACCAGGCGGGCAGGATGAGACCCGGGGGCTCACACTGGGAATGTGGGGTGGTGGCTCTACCCCTGGATGGGCAAGATGGTGACCCCATCTCTGTCCTGCCCTGTCCCCAATGGCTTCTGCATCCCTGCTCATCCTGGGGGTCTCCAGGTGTGCCAGGGGGCTGCATTCCTGCAGAGGGGGTGGGCTCAGCATCCTCAGTGCTTCAGCTAGATGCATTTGGGGGTCTGTGGGGTGGTACCCATAGTGGGGGCTGCTGGATGGTACTGGTAGGCATTGGATGGTACTAGTGGGCATTGGGCAGTAGTGGTGGGCATCAGGTGATGCTGGTGGGTACTGGATAGTACTGGTGGGCATTGGATGGTGCTGGTGGGTATTGAATAGTACTGGTGGGTGTTGGATGGTACAGGTGAGTGTAGGATAGTACTGGTGGGTATTGAATAGTACTGGTGGGTGTTAGATGGTACTGGTGGGCATTGGGCATTACTGGTGGGTGTTAGATGGTACTGGTGGGCATTGGGCAGTACTGGTGGGTGTTGGATGGTACTGGTGGGTGTTGGATGCTACTGGTGAGTGTTGGATGCTACTGGTGGGTACTAGATGGTACTGGTGGGCATTGGTCAGTACTGGTGGGTATCGGACGGTCCCGGCGGGCCCCAAACGGTGCCGTCAGCCCCCGGCCATGCCCGCAGAGCGCGCGGGGTGCAGTGCAGCTGCGGGGCCGTGCCAGCGAGCTGGAGGCTGAGCTGGCCGAGCAGCAGCACCTGAAGCAGCAGGCACAAGACGAGAGCGAGTTCCTGCGCACGGAGCTGGAGGAGCTCAAGAAGCAGCGGGAGGACACTGAGAAGGCTCAGCGGAGCCTGACAGAGATCGAGAGTGAGCAGGGGGAGCTGGGACCAGCCTGGGGTGGGGGTGAGCCCCTGGGGGGGGGCTGAGGGCTCACCTCAGTGTCCCTGCGTGGCAGGACGGGCGCAGGCCAACGAGCAGCGCTACAGCAAACTGAAGGAGAAGTACAGCGAGCTGGTGCAGAACCACGCCGACCTGCTGCGCAAGGTGGGCTCCCCAAAAACCCCCCTGGCACCCCCTCTGCCAGCCGTGCCCCCGGGCACAGGGGGATGCTGAGCTCACTCTGCCATCGCCAGAACGCGGAGGTGACAAAGCAGGTGACGGTGGCCAGGCAGGCCCAGGGGGATGTGGAGCGGGAGAAGAAGGAGCTGGAGGACTCCTTCCAGAGGGTGAGCGAGCAGGCACAGAGGAAGGTGAGTATGGATGGGGGGGACACAGCAGGGATGAGCAGGGGCTCTCCCGTGGGGCACCGGCGCTGCCAACCTCTCCCCTTGCCACAGTCTCAGGAGCAGGCAGAGGTGCTGGAGACGCTGAAGCGGGAGCTGGCAGCCAGCAGGCAGGAGCTGCAGGTGCTCCAGGGCACACTGGAGTCCAGCACGCAGGTGAGAGCGTGGTGGGGGGCCCTGCAACCCCTCACACAGCCCTGGGGTGGGCAGCCAGGCCTTACCCATCCGAGACATGATACCCACCACTGGCCTGAGAACCCTGTCCTCTTCCTCCCCACATCTGGGTAGGTTGGATGGTCACACCACAGGGTTTCATGCCCCTGGGTGCAGGAGCATGGGGAGCAATGGGCTCCGGCAGCAGGGATCATGGAATAAAACCATGTGTGCCATCACACTGCAAGACATACCAGAGGGTATCCCATGCCTGTGGAGATGTGGAGCATAGCAGGGATGTCTGGGCTTGGTGGAGGAGGGAGAAGCTGGCAGGAAAATGCAGTTATCCATTCCCAGGATGGGCAGACGCTGCAGCAGGACAGGGATGGGGCAGAGCTCCAAGGCCACAGCCACACCCCTCATCCATTCCTCCATCAGGATGGTGACAGCCATGATAAAAGTGAATTTTCAGTGAATAAAAGTGAAAGGGCTCCCCGGTTGTCACCAGGTGAGGTCATGACTGCCAGGTGGTGATGCAGGGCTGCGCCTGCTGGGACAGTGAGGGTGGCCCGAGCCTGTACCAGGAACCAGTCCCCAGACTGAAGGATTCACCCTCGGCACAGCCCCGACCACCATTTCATGCCCACCCAGGCGGGAGCGGAGCAGAACTCCCGGATCAGCAGCCTGGAGCAGGAGCGGGACAGGCTGAGCCAGGCAGCGGAGCGGCACGGGCAGGACATGGCAGCGCTGCGGGCGGAGCTGCAGCAGCTGCGGGACACGCTCAGCCGGGAGCAGGAGAGCAGCAGGACCGAGCTGGAGTCGCTGCAGACCCAGCTGAGAGACAAGGTACCCCGGGGCAGCCCCATCCCTCCAGGCCACGGGGGTTTGGCAGGGCTGGGTGGGGGGATGCCGGTGGCACAGCAGGGCCCCTGACACCCCTGTGGGGTTGGCAGGAGGGCGCAGAGCAAGTGCTGCAGCAGCGCCTGGCCGAGGAGCAGCGATCCCTGCTGCGGGGCACCGCCCGCGAGGCCGAGCGGATGGTGCAGGACGCCCTGGCTCGCATGGAGGATCCCGCCCACATCAGCTGCACCGGCTCGGCAGGTGAGGCTCCCAAACTGGGCATTATCCCAGCCTGCCCGCTCCCTGCCGGCCTGGCTGAGCCCTGCCTGCCGTCTGCCTGCAGATTGCCTCCTGTCCCGCACACTGGCAGCCTCCGAGTGCATGGAGAGGCTGCGGGATGCGCACGGCAAGTACCTGTCAGATGGCACAGGTGAGAACGGGCAGCCCCGGGCAGGGGGAGGGCACAGGGGCAGCCCCGGGCAGGGGGAG